AAAAAAACAGATTTATCCGATGTTTTTTATGCTAATCATGGAATCAGAAGGCTTATTCGATATACAACATCTTTTGAATCTGCCGGATTTCTAGATCATGAGATATTATCCTCCATTCATATGGTGAATTGATTAAAATATGGACGACCGTCCAAAATTACTACGATCTAGGATTATCGTCGGTGTCTTTCCTTTGACGGATTTACTTCGACGCCAGTAAGAGCTCTGTCAACTTATAGTTAACACTGCTTCTTTAGTTGAAACTTTCAGTTTCTCTAAAAGATCTAACGTGATTAAAAATATTACCTGCCAACTGTTCTTCACATTGGAGGCAGTTATAGAAACACCTTTAGTTATTGTCTTATCTACAACATTGATCTGTAAAGAGTGCAATGATCGTATGGGCAAATGGAAATTCCGACATAATTGCTTTCATACGATGGGCTGTTTCTGCTTCGTTGTCACTCTGACCCTTTGAGATTCCTTGATATTTATCTTTAATCGTTGCCGCCATCTTCGCTTCTTATCATCGCATAAAAACTGATAGTTAGCATCCTATGGCGGGGATCTGTCGATGATCCATAAGAAGTCAGTCTTCATAAATAAGGTCCACTTCGAACTCTAGAATTACCTATTTCGATTCTGAAAATGTAGAGATGCCAAGATCACAACTCCAGATAATGCTAATTACATCAATGCAGATTACGCTAGCCTATCATTAAACAACGATGAGGCCAAACTGCAGAAAACCGTAGACAGTCCAAAGCTCTGGAAAGAAAAATTTATTTTTTGCATGCTGCAAAATACAGTTCTCTTACGATCTTGTTCTATTAAGTTATAATCCTTCAATAGTGGACTTGCTTCAGTTTAGACGTACGAAAACATAATGCAGTTCAGTAATAATGCATGAACTGCCTGCAGATACACCGACACTGTCGATACGATGTTACTCCTGCCCATGTTTAATAGCATCATATTTAGACGCGTATGCATGATAGTTATGTCCGTTCTAATATCAGATGATCATAGGTTTAGTCTAAAGTTTAATTATCGTAGGCACTGAACTTTGTTTTCCGTTGGAGTTGAAACAATATTTAAGTAACTCCACGAGTTCAAATCGCCTTTATTTCACTAATCATTTATTATAGGATAGAATAATGGCTTAGACTTTCCAGTGATCAGTAAAATTCAATTACTGATGATGATGCAAAGTTGTTAAACTAATGTTCGATTCAGCATCCGTTTCCAGATGCTTTGCTCGTTGTCCTGTAGCTATCAATAATCCTCAAATTTTGATAGGACGGTATTTGTTGCTATGCAAGCGTTGTTCGACGCTGTCACGGGTCATGGATTTCACATCCTTTACCGATAGGTATATGCTCTTCTAAACATCACAGTTGTTAGAATATTCAATGCAGTGATGAAAAATGGTCAAAGCGGAGAGCAGAAAGGGAGTTCAAAAGGAACAACCAAAAATTGCACAGTGCTTTGCAATCACACTCGCAAGAACACGAAAGACAAGCCAACCAATTACACAGCATGTCCACTGCAAGAAAAATCTAGAGAAAACCATGGGGAAAAGGACAAAGTAACTGTAAGTATAGCGCAGAGACTGAGCAAAGCCTTCCCTTTTGTTTGGTAGCTAAAAAATCAAGTACATTCAAAAATCCGGTGCTTCTTCACGGAAACACGCGCGTGTCTAACCACTTCTACACTGACGTTTCAGATCTTCTTTGAATGGAAGAGTGGACAAGTACGCTACCAACGGTAAATGGTAGCTTTGTCTGCAGTCTTGACCCAAAGAAAGAAGTGAATAGCATCGTTTAAAAAAAAATTCTACAGTTAGCGGCTTCACATTGGACAACGATGAGGAAAATACAACTTACTTGTTGTGCGAAAACGTATCAATCTGCCAGTCTAAATTGCCATCTATTAGAAGTGAAATTAGGAGGGGTTACCTAAAACCTGGAAATCTTTTGATATCTATATCGTTTTCGGTGGTTCAATGTTTATGAAAATCTAGATGTGAATACACTTCTATATACCAGAATTGCCTACGTCATTCTTTTAATTTAGGACGCCAAGTCGCCAAATGCTTTGCTGTTTTGTTGTCCAAACTCTGCAAAGTACATACCCTTTCTCCATAAATAAAGGGAGATCTGTTGTTCTAATTCGTGGCTCAGTTACATTCATAACTCAAGTTTTTTCTCTGTTTCGGCAAGGTTCGATGCTCCAAACATGTCCATCGTCCACGGTAGCCACAGTGCTACTCTAATTATAGCAAAACGTAAACTGCTTTAATTGAAATAACGAACCATGCATGATAAAACGGATGTTTTAAGGGTTTAGGCGTTTGAAGGACTGGCAATATTGGCTGAAAACACCGCCAATCCTTACGATACAAAAGAATGGCAAGTACATGCCATTACAAATTAAATGTGCTGCAAAACTTTACATTTCATGCTGAAATTAATTCACTTTTGTTTGAAAATGCCTGCAGCACCTATTAAAAGATAGAGAAAGATCTACAAAAAATTTAAAGATGAAAAAAACACGTTTCATTTTAAATTTTGTCTCAATTTTTATTGGTAAATAATTAAATACGGATTCGCGTGAGGGCGGAACAAGATTCCGGGCGCTACTGCATCTCATGATGGTCAACCATGTGCAGAAGAGGCATAATTGATGCACTAGTCCCCTGATCGCATGACGAACCTTGTTGGAACAGGATTCATGGCTTGAGTTGTGAGACGAATGCAGTTTTATCAGATTATGCAGGTGCAAATGCATGATGGGGTGTAATAAACGGATTGAAGATTCTTAGAGAAGCTTACTAGATGATTCAGAAAATTATCTACTAAAAGCTCATCAGGCTTGCATCACGTTCTTTCTGTCATCAAGCCAACTGGTGGAAAGAGTTTAAATGACTGAAAAATGCAAGAACATTTTCATCCCTATGCATACGATTAAATAAGACTTGACCTCCAGAGTTAATGACTCTAGCGCTTGTGATCAAACAGGGAGGACTCTCCTTAACACTACGGGTCGGCATCTACATACTTTTCATCTACTAGCGGGGCTTGTGAATTATCTATTTAAGCAATACGCCGAGTTAACTGCTGTTGAAAATCATAAGCCGTATCAACAAGATCTGCACTAAAACTAGGTGAATGGGATGCATCATCAACGTTATGGCTCAGGATGGCCGTATTCGTTTGTAATCTACTGCAGGTTTCGTCCATTTCTTTCAGTCGTGCAGTGGTGCTTTTCGTAAATATCCCCTTATATATTTTCTGGTTGAATATTTGTTATTACGCAATAGGTTCCCGCTTTCAACTGTGTCGGGTTTCTATGATCATTGTTATTTGCGAATGACGAATAATCAGTCTTATTGCGAATGACGATCTTTTTGTACCGTTACAGTTTATTTCCTGTTTCAGTATAATGAAATATCGTGACTGACTTATCCCTTTAAAAGTCCTTTATGTTCGGGGCGAGAAGTTCGCCGATTGGAAGCACTATTTTAGTTGGTGTGCTG